GGAAATGGAAAGGAGAAAGAAAAGGATGTTTTTATGAAGGCCCAGCTGCTCCCCAGCCCATCAGACGCCCCGGCTCTCTCCAGCGCGCCGGTGGAGATGCGCGCGAGCGCGGCGCAGTGACTCGCCTACAGATCAGGGCCCCAGGCACACCACCAACAAAGCACGCGCTGTGCGAGCTGGTCCCAGCACAGATTCTGGAGTTTCCATAGCAAGCCACGATAAGCAGAAAAACACGTATTTCTGGCAAACCGTGTAAGAGTTCAGTAGAACTGAACTGCTGTCACGTTTCCCAAGAAATGAGAGTTGACAGAGATTTGCGAATATCCGTGTGCCAACGTTTGCCAGGCCTTCGCTGTTCTTCCTGTGCAGAACTACGTTTGCATTAAGACTTTGGTACTTGCAGTATCTGCCACCCTGGAGAGCGATTTAACGAGACATTGTATGTGATCAGCAATGCAGCTATCACTTTTTTTTGTAACTACGACATGGAAGAACAGAAGGTGGTTCACAAGTGCAGCACTGGAACAATTACGCTTTCCAACACACGAATGGAGGGAAGGGTGCTTTTTCTCTTCTTCCTTCTCCTCCAGAGCCATAAGATGAAGAAGGTATTTTCTCTCTCTAAAGAGACACTCCTGTTCAGTTGCTCACAGAGTTCAATTTTATTTGCTAGTACTACAATCTCCTTTAAAACATTCTCTTTTCTGGCTCCGATAAGCATATGGCTCCTTGCACTCCCCAGCAACAAAAACCATTTTGTTTTAACTGTAATACATAACCCCAGCTCACTCTCCCATCCTGTGCTCAGAAATGTTCTTGTACTACACTGCAGCACCTGAGAAAGTTACTTGGACTTTTGGAGAACTAATAAAAACTGACTGTGGCCATGTCTTGAAAAATGACAATCAAACAGATTGTATGGTGTAGTACATGTGCTTCAAACGAGGGTTTTTAAAACCCATTTTTAAAAGCATAAGAGACATTACTGTCTTCATAATAATCTTAATTATCACCTGTGTGCAATATTCTCACTGTACCTTCTGTACTTCAAGCGAGTATACTAAATAAGTTGAAAAAACCCAATGGGAAAGTTAGTTGGAAATAGTAGAAACGAAAACAAGCCCCAAAATTAAGAAGAATGCAAGACTTTACAGCAAAATAATTGTAATAGTTTTCTTTGATACTGAATTAAAATATCACATGCCAAAGTTTCCAACACGGAACACCAGCACCCAATCTCTGACAGTTCATCCCCACACCCTTTGTTTCTTATTTTGTTATTATTTAAATTAAAAAAGCAATAAAGGGGTACAGTCGACTCAGCAAGACGGTCAATAACAGTGCTGACAGTCTTACCCTAAGGTTCTGAATGCTGACTGGTCCAAATGCACTGGTTTTCTGTCTCGGTTAAAACCAAGCTGTGGTCTCCAAGGCCTGCCGTCATTGTTGGTTTTTTCCCAGTCTCCCGGTTTCAGAACTGGAGCAGGTTTCCTTAATATTAAAAATAGTTCCATAAACACTTATCAGAACAAATACCCAGATTAATGAAAGAAAATGGAATGATTTGAAAACTGACAACTGATACTTACTTTGCACCAGGTAACACTATTGCCTTGAAAACAAAGTCTTCATCGAATTGTGGATCTTTGAAAGAGATACTAGGACAAAGTATTCGAGGATTAGGTTTACATGATAATTAAGACAAGCAAGATTAAAAACTAATTGCTGCTTTATTAACAGTGATGCTCACAACAGAAACTGTAAGATTCGAGAACCCACGACTTAAACTGCAAAATGCACTTCTTCCATATGGATACACTGACTGTCTCAGAGCTGGACGTCTCGCTTATTTTACACAGGGTGATCTTTTCCCTCCTCTGTGTCGATAACCAGTCTAAAAGAAAGTTGCATGGCTAGAAAACAGTTAGTCCTACGTATGGTAATGAAAGCACCTTCTGCAGACCCTTGAGTACAAATCCTCTAGTCAAAGCACTGATTGTACTTGATCAAGTTCAAAGGCTGCCACAGTACAGACAGGAAGGACATCAGCTTGGCATGCAGCCTAGTCAAAAGTGTACGAATCCCATGAAAGTGGGATTTCCCGGGAGCTTTCATCCTGAAAGGCAGCTATGCAGTTGCAGGCAGGCTCCGTGGAGGGATATGCACCTATTTTCAGTGACACCAAGCAGACTTTGAGCAGTGGTGTCTAGTGTTAGGTCTAGTTAGGTGTCTAGTATTAGACAAACTAATAGCAATAGAGCAAAAAGTTTAATTTCTGCTGGTACGAGGCATTATATAGCAGTTTGGATGTGTTCTAGGAAAACTGACCCACACTCCCAGCAATTCCTGACTCCTGGTGTAACGTCAAGTAGGTCCCACCAGAGACATGTTTGAAGCACACAGCACCAATCTGCTTCCTGTTCTCTCACTACCTTCCATTTGATATAGAAGAATGCTCGGGATGCCAAGAAAGATAAAAGCAAACAGCTAAGCAAAATAATCTCACTCTTCCAGCTGAAATACATCTGGTTTTCAGCACAGAGAACGGATGAGACTCCAAGGAAAGAGAATAATGGTCCCTTGGAAAATTCAGTCAAAGTCAGAAGAACTGAAGAACAGAATCATGACTGCTCATACTATCTCAAAAGACAGGAAGAAAAATCCTTGCAATAAAGAAACGGACAGAAGCGTAAAACAATTCAAACCTCCTGACAGTGGCAGATGGAAAGCCAAAAACTACCTTTAACTCATCACTCAAAGTAACTAAATCCCCATTTCAGAACATCCTTTCTACAATATCCTGACAAGTGACAACTTAGCATTTCTTACTGCCTGTAGACAGTTGTTCTAGTTGAGCCGGGTTATGCCTTCTTGGAGGAAAAAATTACGCAGACAGATCACAAGTGATTTTCAGGGTCTCAAGCATCTTATGTGGCTCAGGAAGTGAAAGGTTATAGGCTCGAGCATTGCATACCTATTACACTGTGCCAAATTAAGTGAGAAGGACATACAACTCACTACATCTACAGAAATTTGCGGGCAAGTGCAAGAGTAATTAAAATCTTCCGTGACCACAAGATTTACTCTTGGAAACTCCGCACTGGTTTTTATTCGTTCTGAAGTTTCTTATTATTCTCCCAAACATCAGGTTCAGGCAAAGTTAGCATTACTCCTTTACTCCTGAAAGATATGAAGCTTCTATTCTCAGGCATCCTCTGGGAATTGCTAAGAATAAAAATGGATAAAAATCCAAAAGGCAAAAAAATCAAGAGTTGGAGGGCTTTCAATCAACACCCAATTCCATCTCGGAGGCTTGCTCTCATGAATGTTTGGTTTTCTTCAATTTAAAAGGCTTGACACAGACTATCGAGTTCTACAGGTGCTGCTCTTTGCTTGCCAAAGACCCAGGAGTCCCAACGGAGAGCAATCGGAAAAGCAACAGCAGGAAAGACGAGGTACTTCCGAAGGGATGCAGCACAACGGGTCTGATGTGCTGACAAACGACCACTTTGGACATCTCTGGAGGGCACCCCACTATGCCCTCTGCTTAACCACCCCAGCCCGAGCCCACGGGGTCCCCACGTGGCATCTTGGATTCAGTTCTCACAGAAAGCCAGAAACGTTTAAAGCAAAAGCTCCGATTTTATTAAGAGATGGATTCTGTTGCAAATTCAACCACGCAAACCAGCAGAACAAACTGAGTTTTGGTGGCTGTATTCTCTATGTCCCACTGTTTACTTACCTGACTGCAGAGTTTTGTGCAAGATCACGCAGCATTGGAACAGGAGACTCCACCGTCCTGGTAAAGAGAAAACCTCTGTCAAAACATCATGTCACATATTCCTCACCATTTGTTCCACTTTCTCCACTGCTGCTGTTCCTCAACTAGGCATGTGACACAACAGGGATTTCAAAATTAACTTACCTTTCCCCTAAATCGAATACTTCTATGAGCAACGGAATTACTGAATTCTTATTTCTTAGTGTAAATACTTTTGCAGTTGCTCTGTGTGGATTCCCTAGTGTCTGGCAGTGGGTTCACACACTTCCCACTACCCAGTGGCCTCTTTACAAACCTTAGTGCTATTCTGCACCTTGGAAACCTCCAGGTACTGCACCAGTACCTCCAGGTACTGCCAGGGTTTGCTTATAACAAGCAACAGGTTCTAAGAAGGCAGGAGAACGCCAGAGAGACAGACAGGCACACAAACCTGCTTCACTAGGAAGAAAAAGGCTTTGAAGTAAAAAAAAAAAAAAAAACATAATAAAAAACTTAGCAGCTGCTTTCCACAGCACTTAGAGAGTCTCCTTTCTAACTGAGATTTAACAGGCTGACATGCAGTTGCATGCAGCAAAAAAAACCCCAAAAAACCCATTTCTCATGCCCTGCCTAGGGAAGACAATGCCAGAAGAGTTTTCTTTTTCCTGCATTGCTATTCCCTCCAAGAACAGCTCCGACTTGCTCGTGTTCTTTGCAAGCCATGACAAGAATTGAGAAATGTATATTAGTGAGTGTGACCCAGGATACATTATCTGTCCGACAATACCAGAGTGTTTGTGCATTCAATGCAAATGAGTCACTGAACACCTGCTTATGCCTCTAAGCAAAGTTGGATAAATGAATGCACACCCTACAACGTGAAGATTACACTGATCGTTTCTCAAACTAAATGCATTATCTACAAAACAAAAAATACTAGCATTTTTTTCTGCATGTAGCTGGTATCAGTCCTGAATTTAGTGCCATAGCCTAAATGGAAAATGGCAAAATATATCTCAATCTGGATTTTTTCTTTAATGTAATTAAGATTAGCACACAAAAAGCAGAGTTGGTGGGGTTTTTTTCAAACAGCGTGCGCTATTAGAAGTTCCATCAGACCACATTAAATTGACGTTTCTACAAAAGCACAGAGGCCAAACCAACAGGACCTTACTGAATAAGGCCACTGTTCACTACTGCCTTTATTATATACTTCCTGTTTACCAATTAAAAAGTTCAAACGTTATTAAGTACATAAAAATCAGACTTCCATAGCTGAAATGACAAAAAAAAGATTCACCAGCAATTAAATACATGCATTACAGTACTTTAAAGATTTCTGATGCTGCTTTAAAAGCCTAGTTCTGAAATAAAAAAACATAAGATCACCGAGTGAAAGTTTTACTTGCCTAGTTTGTTTTTTTTGTTTTTTTTTTCTTTTTTTTACATATGCTGATAACAACACACCCTTACTATGAAACCTAGCAGAAAGCATGTTTAGCCTCAGAACTAAATGCATTGCCTTGCCAGGAGTTTTAGGTTTCTTCTTGTGGGCACGAAGAGATTTTGATTTAAATGCAGACATAACTGAAGGAAACGTCCTTTAGCATCAAACAACCCACACCAAAAGCTATACTCACTGATCTGGAAGGACAGCATTTTCATTCAGTGTAAGCTTTCCCTGGATTCCATGGCACAGCTCTGGGGGCATATCCACTGGCTACGGAAAAAAGTTTTCCAGCTGAAGCACTTTATTAGACCTCCACTCCCACCACTTACACGAGCCCTTAAGAACAAGTACAACCTACCTCTGTATTTTTGGTCTTGTACTGCTCTACAATAAAGTCACAAAGTGGATGGTGTTTTCCAACAAAGAGAACATCACCACCAAGGCTGTTTCTTCTGCCTAGAAAAGATGAAGACAATGGGCAAGAGTTCAGAGGAAAGAGGGAAGGAAGGAATACAGCAGACCAGCACACCATCCTGTCGACATCTCCATGAAAGGAAAGCTCTGTTGAGATTTAGGAGAAAGCTTTGAACATTCCTTGAGAGCATTGGAAAGGCAGCGTCTCTGCCCAGAAAGGGAAGTCTCTGGTCACAAGGGTAGTTGGCAGATAGTAAAACAATAAGAATCTTGCGTTCAATAGGAGGAATGTTGAATGTAGCACGGAGTAACGTTGAAGATACAGACAGGCTGTAACAACAAAAAACACCAAACCAAAACCCCCACACCTCCCAAGCAGTTTGCCTACAAGAACCAGCTATTATATTTTTGTACAATGGAGAAACATTTGTCTATACAAGCTAAACACGAAGCTTCACATCTCATAACCAGACATAGCAGCCCACTGGTCACAGAACAGCCCACACACCTGCCAAGTTTTACCATCAACTTGAGCCCTGGAAACAGAGTTTATTCTTTTGATTGCAGCACATTCACCTAACAAGTACTCTGACAGTGTATACTGGTAGAAGCTTTTAATACAATTAGGCAGCATCCTACCTTTCAGGTCAAGTCTTCTGCAGGTCTACTGCAGTAACACAGGAGTAAGAGAAAGCTACAAAACCAACCCCCTTGAGGACCACTCTCATTATCAGCACTATCCACGGAGAAGAAGCTACAGCCTGTTGTAATTCAATCCAAGCAAATGTCTATTACATTTTGCTCATTTAGGGTGAAACACAGTATTAATAACAAGTTGTAACAAAGTGTCACAATTCTTACTTTCTTCAGGAGTGAGGTCAGGGTAGACTTCTTCTAGGGCAGCTCGAAGACGTCGCTCATCAACAAATGGCAATAATGCAACACCTAGTAAAACCGAATATTTTATTTATTTTTTAAACGAGTGTGAAAAAATAACAAGAAAAAAAAGAGATGACACTAGCATGGAAAGCTCCAATAGATTCTTTACCCAAGAAACAATTGTTGCATCAGTAACAGAAAAGAAAATCCTACATTTTCAGAGACTGTGACTCTGCAGGCTGTTTAGAAAGAAAAAAACAACACACAGTTCAGTAGTAGTGCAGGTCAGAAAGGTAAGCTCATCTCCAAGCTCCTCTCCATCCTCTCCCCAGTCCTGTGCAGGCACTGGGAAGCAGTAACCTCTACCCACGCCTGCCTGCATCAGCAACAAGATGAGCTCAGTAAGACAGTCATTATTTGTCTCATTTGCTAGAGATACTCCCCTGACAGAACTCAATGCTACTTTATTCAAATTAATTTATTAAGAGACAACAACGAAAGAAATCACTCTAAGTTCAGTAACAAGGTGATACAGATATTATCCATTAGGGACTATTCATCCCAGCTATTAATTTCACTCCGAGATAACATGGAGGCTCCTCTCAGGATCAAAATCCCTCACTAAGCAGCACATCTCGGAGCCCACTCAATCATACTGGATGAAATAACCTCCCCTGGTACGCTCCAGTATATGTTTTCTTCTATTATAAAATCAAAAAAGCACTAAGAAATTTACTCTGAAAATTCTTCAAAGACTTACTTCTGCAATCCTTATTATCAGTTGGAATCTGGAGTAACTATTTTAGTTTTTATTTCCCTTACCATGAACACCAGAGCCTTTCCTGACCACGATGACAGCACAGGCTTTCTACTAAACCGATACACGTAGTTTCCTTTGGGTGCCTGTAGCAGATGTACTGGCAGGCAGATCTTGGACACGTTTGTCGTCTAAGGTACAACATCCAAAGGGACTGTGGACTTCCACGGACTTAGATTCCTGACCTAAAAACTTGGTCTGCCTGAAACACTTTTGCTTCAGAAGTTGGATCTTTACGTGGCTTTATTAAAACAAATGCTGTTGTCCTGGAGCTGGAGGAAGGGGGACAACCTAAAATTTACCTGAGGTGTAATGACACCAGAAGCTCATACCCTCTCCTAACGAAACCAGTTTGGAACAGGCCACGAATAAAGTGTTAAATACGTCAGAAGTTTAACTGAATCAGAATATTCTTTAGCCTGCTGTAAAATAACGAGGAGCAGAGCTGCACAGCCTGCTGGAGCCAACCACACCGGACAAGAAATCTGCAGGACCTGCTCACAAAGTACGAGGACAAGCTCCGTGCAGACTGACTACTGCTTTATCAAAGACTGCACCAGACCTCAGTCATGTTCAAATTTTAGCTGGAACATAACTGCTTGTAAGGGGAAACAGTGACAACGCCTGCCCTGGAAAACAAACAATTTATTTTCAACTTCGTAACACACTGGTGGAATGACAACAAAATGAGAAGTGTTCACAACCCTGGAGGCTGCAAAAAGGATCAATGCTGAGCTTTCAGAAGCATAATCCCATCTCTAAAATGAAGATCTTCAAACATTTCATTAAGAGGACAAGGTACACCAGATGCTTTTTAACAGAGATAGTCTGTACTTCCAGTTCGGAAAATATTTCTTGTTTCACAGCTGCCTTTTAAGCAGGAGAATTCCAGATGTCAATCCAGAACAAAGAGTTTATAATGCAACTAAGCATCAAATTAATCAAAAGTAACGTTACAGGCTGCTGAAAGCACGTGGCAGCCACTTAAACCATCACCACTTTGGACTGTGGATTTGATAACTGGAAAAAAGTACTATGGAAAGTTGCAGAATTACAAGAGAGGTAAGAAAGGGTTACAGAGGGAAAACCTGCTATGCGACATGTCTCATGATTCCTAGGAATATTCTCTTAGGTTTTGGAACGCTGTCCCGAGTAAGATACTAACTGATGTCTAACTGTGGCTATTTCAAACATATGTGAGCTGCCTTGGGGGAAGAAT